TAGTCTTGCTGTTCTGATTCTGGTTTTGTTGCCTTTTTCTGAGATGATAAAGCTCTTTAGACATCCAGATTAGGTTTGTACAGGGATGGTGCCCTTTGTTGCTGCAAGTATTTTCTTGGGTATTAGTGAAGGACAGCCTTTGCTGCTCTGAGAGCTACATCATTGCTGCCACATTCTTCCAATAATTTCCTTTTCAAAGTGGAGTATGTGCAATATACAGCTGCTTGGAGAAATGTAAATTAATGAAGCAAACAAGAGTGCTAGCGTTTCCAATGAACACAAATTATATAAGTTATTAATTAAATATTGGGATGTAACTAGGTAAGTATCTATTGTATGATCAATATAATGCACTCTTCTGAACAGATGCTTGCATTGATATTTCTTGTAGTCAGTATTTTAGAGGCTGATATGTCTCAAGTTTTAAGTTATAACCTTAATTAGTATATTTTAAAAATGCATCTCTGAGTTTAAAAATAGTACTGAGACAGTAAAGCTGTAAAAAACATCGCTTACTAGAAATGCTCAGATTTGATTCTGAGTCCAGATCCTGTTTGGTTCATTAGGGATCTGAGAAAGCACCATGGCTACAAATGGAGTTACAGGCTCTGGACAAGCAGACAGCTTGTTCTTAAAGAGATTGGTAATGTTGATGCAATTACATGAAAGCAAATCTGGTCCACCTTTCATTTTACTGTATTTTTTTACCATTAGAAGTCTTATCTATCTAACTCTGTAACATACTTTTTCCAAATCTTAGGTTTGTACCTACATACCAATTTTTCTACATTTTATTTTGTAGAGTTTTTCTGCAAACTGATTGTCTCACCTATCTCTGGTTCTAAACTTGGGTTTAAACTGAATCTTTTTCTCACTTTCTAGGAGCATAGGTTGTGACCTATTTCAGATAGAACACAATCCTTAATTTAAGGAGAGGGCTGGAGAAAGTGCTTTTACTAGTAAAAATATTTATATCTGAATGTGAATTTGTGTTTGAAATTCCTCTATGGGCTAGACTTGAATGAAATAAAAAGCACACTTAACACAACTTTTAAATGCAAAATTCATAATGCAGCTTTATTACAGAGTTTAATCTTCAAAATAGTGGACTTGTTTTTACCCTCCCATCTTGTGAGAGTTCAGCTCCAGTACCTTCATGCCCTTGGGCAGAGCTAACTGATGTGGTCCTGATCTGTGAGGGCCCACAGGTTTGTCATTTTAGGCAGCTGGAATGTTTGAATGTGGTCCGTCTCCCTAGTGAGTGTTTGAACAGTGACAGATTTTACAACCAAAGTTTATCTCTTGACTGGCCTTCCTGGAATAGAGAAAAGGCTCAATAGGAGGATATCAGTGATATTTAATGAGAAGTTAATATGGCTCAAGGAAGACTGGTCTTTTTTGGAGGCTGCAGGCATAGGAAGGAAATGCACAATGTAATGTGTCTAGTCCTGCACTGTCAGATTTCAGGAAAGTCTTGTGCTTGTAAAGCTAACCAAATTGGAGTAAAGCATATTTTCAATTTAGATTAGACTGCAACTTTAGACTATACAAAGTATTTTTCTTACATTAAGTGTACCAGAGAAAGAAAGAAGAGCGAAACTGCCTTTAGGTTGCTTTTTTTTTTCCACCTAAGTCCTTTTGTGTTGAACCTGGGAATGTTCAAGCTTTTAGGTAGTTCAGGAAGCTGAGATATACTTGGCATGTTCTACTCTTGGTTTTTTCAGCTTCATGAAGATACGATAGTGGTATAGTGAGGTAGTAGTTACTTGATCTTAAGATTTTTTTATCAACTTATGGGCTGTGCAATGACCTTTGAAGCTGTAGCAGTGAAGGGTAAATCTCGTAAAGTAAAGGGGAGCCTAACTCACTAAATTTTAAACTATGTTTACAATTCTTTTCTCGAGAAATTACTTGGCTATAAAGGTTCATGTAAGCCTTCCCCCAAGAGCAAAGACTGATTTTTAAGCAGTGTAAAATTTTGCTGTTACTGTTTTGCACCTTATGTTCAGCTGTCTTGAGAGCAGGAGTGTTTAAGAAAGTCAAGGGCCTCTATGCAGTCCAGGTACACATGGTTGAGATTGTCTGTAGCCTAATTTCTGAGTATTTGGAAGGACTTTGGATCTTTGATTATTTAACAGGTTGATATGGCAAACTTGGAATAATGTTAATGTAGTGCTGAAGATCCAGTGCTTGAGAAACATACTGTTTATTGTAGAGTGTGGGAATGTCTTTGGATTAGTTTTAAATACAAAAGGATAATCACTTACACATATTTAATTGTCACCTGTGATCTTCTTCAGAAGGAGCTGGAAAGAAGCTTTCTCTAATCTTGTTTGTGTTATTCAGCATTCAGTGGAATACAGATTCAAAACCACAATCCCTATCAAAAAGGTCCTGCAACTGAATCTCTGTATGCGCAGGGTGACCAACGTACAGATTCTGAAAGAATCACAGCTTAAAAAGGGGAGAGGCAGTCATGTAAATGCTTCTGCTAAGAGTAAATATGGCAGTATCATTCTTTATGGAGTCACTTGCACCAGAACTCCTGCAGTACCTCGCCGTTTGCTGTTTACAGAATGCTTGAGAAAGGGAGCAGTAGCATGCCAATAAAAAAAGAAGGTTTTGCTAGGAAAGATCTGGTGTGGGTGATAAGAGTGTGTATGTGTAAAGTTTGTTTATTTTTGTTCTTTTGGGAATTTTCATGAGGTTTTATTTGCAAGGCTCAAGCTGTGCATATAAAACCATAAACAGGTGCTGGGAATCTCATAGGGGAGTCTCAAAACTGCATATGAAGCAAAACTGATATTTTTAGTTCATTGTCAAACTTAATTTTCTATCCAAAACTTGAGAAGAAAAAGTAATCTATTTAAACTAGCTAGAAGCTAAGTTGGTTCTGTAGTTCAGGAATGATTTTTGATAGAAAATTGATTAAACAAGATACATTACTTAGTATGTCAGCATCTCCCTATCTAGGCTGAGAAGCAGCTGCAAGAGTCTAAAGAGACTGCCTGAAAACTTGGTTGCTGTGTTTCTTTGAGAGGGAGGGAAAAAAAGCAAGACAGGGGGGCCATGGGAGTACCTGTCAAGTAGTTGCATAAAGCTTTAGTTGTATAAATCTATTTTGATTAAATTGGTATGTCAGAAACACCAGTTGAATACCATTTAGGGAGGACAGGCAAGGTAACTGCCTTGCTGCCAAGACATCCCTGACAACATGTGCCTAAAATTCTGTGGGCAATGACCAAATGAGAGAGCAATGCAATACTAATACCTTTTGGCAGCTGGGGGTGGTGGTGGGTGTCTGATGCTTACAGATAATATTTTTTTCAAAACGAGAGCCTTTTATTCATGTTCTGGATATGTTTCTGTTGTTCTGATTTAATAAGTCTTGAAGGAACTAAAAATTACCTCAATATTAGTGGTCTTTATTACTTTATTTTTCTGGCCTGTGTCTCTGTATTGGTCTGGAGTAACTCTCCTGAAGTCATCATCTTGCCTGGGGCTAAGCTTCATTCTCTCTTCTTGTAAGAAAGATTGCCAATTGAGTTAGGCCACCTTTGAAAAGCTTTTATGGCTTTGATATGGGTTGAAAGCTGCTGGAGATGAGGTTTATCAAATCATTACAGTTCAGCATTATTCCATTTGGTTAGCCACTCTTGGCATACAGATAGGATTTGAAAGAAAAATATCTTCAGCAAAATTATCATCAATAATTCACGTGTTTATGTTACAATTGTATATACTGCATACTCTCTGCAAGGCAGAGAGGTGACAAAGCAGTTTATAGAAACAGACCTCACAAAGTTACCTGGGTCAGCCGCAGATTGAGTTCTCAGTCTGTACAAAAACAAAGCATTTTTTATTTTTTAGCACTATGTCATTGGTTGAAAAAGGTGTATTGAGTGATGCATACTCTTAAGTATACCAATATGATTTTCACAGAATTGTTCTCAATTTTGTAAATTTTAGGGAAAATGCTTTATCAAAGAGTGTTAACTGTTTTATTGTACTCTGAATTTTGTCCTTTGTTTTGAGCAGGTATTCCTTATTCCCCAAGAATACTCCAGTAAGCATTCAGTTATATGAATCATCTAAAAATGTTAGTATCTCCCCAAGTCCCTGATGAGGTTTCCATGTTTGTTAGGAAAAGAATTGCTCCCATCCTCATGCCCATTGGACCTTTCACAGTATGTTAAACTGTCAGCCAATTTAGTGAAAATTTTGACTTTTCAAGTGATTTTCTTTTTTAAAAGTTTGGTATTTTTACCTTTTGATCTTACTTTGTTGCATCATTCAATATATTAATCTCTTAGTGTGTTCTTTACAACTTTAACAGAGGTCCCAAGTCTTCCATTTTTATAGCATTTTTATTAACATTTTTATAACAAACTTCAAGCAAGAAGAATTGACTGGTTTAAATTTTAGGCTGGAAGGGAAAAAATGTTTTTGATTTTCTTCTGTTTACATTCAAATCAAGCATGTTTGGCTTGAGTCAAGATGTGATCCAGGTATTCTTTGCAGAACGAAAGCCTTAATTTGAATGGGTTTAGTATCCCTTTATGCTTTTATACTGACAAATTTATATTCAAACCACAAGAATTATGTCAAAAGAACTCATTTTAAAGGCATTTGAAATGTGCTTTTGGAAGTTGGAGTGATTAAAGAAATTGCTATTTTTCCGCTGTGTAGCATCTCAGCTGCAGAACTTGTAACTTTACGTAAATGTAAAAATTGTTGAGCTTAAATGGCTTTTAGTGCTTAGAAAGGGGAGAATGACAAAGCCATTACTTTATTTCTACTTCAGGAAAAGCAACTTTCAGGTAGTGAACACGTAGATAATTTGAAGGGGGTGGCATCTTGTAGATCCTTAGATCTTTTACTCATAGATGTTGGCTCTTTCAAATGCTGCTGTGGAAGCAGTAATGAGCTGCTGTTCTAATACTCACAGTTTTTGGAGTCCAAACATTTCACAGTCTTATGACAATTTATTTTCCTTACAGGAGTGTATTGTAACCATCCAGTCCTTCTTCAGCTGCTTTCCCTTGGGTGGGCCTGGTAAGTTTTTGTATTCTATTACAGATAGCTTTGTCATTGCAAGAAGGGTTAATTTATTTTCGGTCATTTTTTCCACTTGAATGTGGAGTAAGAATCAGGTTCAGCTATTGTTTGACTTTTATAACAGTTTGTCAGCTCTGTTTAAAATTGAAATGTACAGTACCAATATATTATAAACAAGAGACAATGTGTGCCCAGGTGGCCAAGAAGGCCGATGGCATCCTGGTCTGTATCAAAAACAGTGCAACCAGGGGCACCAGGGCCCTTCCCTGTGCTCAGCACTGGGGAGGTTCTGCCTCGAGTGCTGTGTCCAGTTCTGGGGCCCTGACTACATGAAAGGGATTCAGGGGCTGGAGTGAGCCCAGAGAAGGTCAGTGGAGCTGGGGAAGGGTCTGGAGCACAGGTTCTGTGAGGAGCAGCTGGGGGAGCTCATCCAGGAGAAAAGGAGGAACTTATCAGTCAAAGGCAACTTATCAGTCTCTACAGCTGCCTGAAAGGAGAGTGTTGCCAGGTGGGGGTCAGTTTCCCAAGTAACAGGTTCATAGTTATTTGGGGGAAAAAAAAAATAACTTCCTTGTTGAAATAGGGCTTAGCTGTAGGCAGTTTTCCTGGGTGTTTGGGGATTTTTCTGTTGATGTGACTGCAAAACTTTGACTTTACATGCTGCATGATCACATATATACATCCTTTTCCATTTCATGTAGCTGTAGCAATGCAGAGCTTAATGGAGGCATAATGAGGCAGCAGTTGTAATGAAAGCTGAAATGTTTGCTCTTTATTTACATTGTCATTAAATAAGTATATTCAATGTTTTCTTCATCCAGAATGAAGACAAATGTAAAGATGGCATGTCCAAGGAATTTTAAAAGGTGTAGACCTCCTGACTGAGCAGTGTTGTGTTTTTTATTCTCTTCAATTAGTAAAGTAAGTATGAATCAAACCTATGCTTCTGGGAGTTAAATGTCTCATTTTTATATATATATAACAATATTGAACAATAATACATTGTGCCACCTTAATTTTAATTCTGCCAATACGCTTAGTTCTCTTGATGGGAGAAGATGAGGAATTATGTATAAGAATATGTAATACACAAGGGCTTTTTGGGAATTTGTGTCTTTTTAATTGGGTAGAATTATTTAATCTGGTAGAAGATTCTAAAAAACAAGAGCTATCATGTTCATGTACCACTCTGATTTTGGAATTCTTCATAAATAAAAAATCACTTATGTAAGTTTATAATGGTAGTGAAGGACTGCTAATAGTACATCAGCCACTTCTTTGACTTATACCTGTTTGTGGCTTCTACTGCAGCAGTACCCAAATGTTTGGTTTTAATATACCTTCTCTCAGGCTAGTTTCACTCTTTAAGTTTTTGCACTCCCACGTACCTTTCCTTAAAATAAATCCATGAGATGATGGATGGGGTCGGGTCCCAGAAGTTCTTGGATCTTTTTGCTATGCTCTGGAGTCCAGGTCACATGTTACACATATTTAGAACTGCGATAACAATAATAGATCTCAAGTATTTAATGGTGAGGTTTTTTTTTAACAATTCTCTAAGAATGTCTTTTCTTCTCTTTTTTCTTCTACCAGCTGCTGTTCTCTCACAGGTGAAAGTCATGATCACGCTAACAGAACTCAAATGCTTAGCAGATGCCCAGTCATCCTACCACATACTAAAACCATGGTGGGATGTCTTCTGGTATTACCTCACCATGATAATGCTGCTAGTTGCTGTGCTTGCTGGGGCTCTCCAGCTTACTCAAACCAGAGTATTGTGTTGTCTTCCTTGCAAGCTAGAATTTGACAATCATTGTGCTGTGCCTTGGGATTTAGTTAAAGCCAACCTTAACATGTCAGCTAGCTCGACAGCACCGATAATCATCCCGCTTAAAATCCAGAATTATCTCCATCGGCAGCAGTATTCCTACATCGATGCAGTGTGTTATGAGCGACAGCTTCACTGGTTTGCCAAATTTTTTCCATACCTAGTGCTTTTGCATACCTTCATTTTTGCAGCTTGCAGTAATTTCTGGCTTTACTATCCCAGTACAAGTTCCAGGCTTGAGCACTTTGTAGCCGTTCTTCAGAAGTGTTTTGACTCGCCCTGGACAACGCGTGCCCTCTCAGAAACAGTTGCTGAGCAGTCTGCCAGGAAGTTGCCAACAGCCAAATCAAAACCAGCAATTTCATCACCTCAGTGTTCAGGAGACATAGGGGCCAGCAGACAGTCCCTGCCATATTCACAACATGGCTTGGAAACAACTGGAAGAGAAAATTCCAGTGTTCTTGACAAAAAAGAAGGGGAACAAGCTAAAGCTATATTTGAAAAAGTGAAGAAATTCAGAGTACACGCTGAAGAAAAGGATGTCGTATACACAGTGTATATGAAACAGATTATAGTGAAAGTCTTTGTAGTTGTCATAATAGTAACTTATGTCCCCTACTATTTATCATTTATTACACTTGAAATTGATTGTGTAGTTAATGTTCAAGCCTTTACAGGCTACAAAAGGTACCAGTGTGTTTATTCACTAGCAGAAATTTTTAAAGTTTTGGCTTCATTTTATGTTGTTTTGGTGATCTTCTATGGATTAACTTGTACTTACAGTTTGTGGTGGATGTTAAGAAGTTCACTTAAGCAATACTCTTTTGAGAAGTTGAGAGAGAAAAGTAATTACACTGATATACCTGATGTGAAGAATGACTTTGCATTTATTCTTCACTTGGCAGATCAGTATGATCCTCTTTATTCCCAACGATTCTCAATATTCCTGTCTGATTTGAGTGAAAATGAGCTCAAACAGATAAATCTTAACAATGAATGGTCAGTGGAAAAACTGAAAAATAAACTAGTAAGAAACTCCCAAGACAAGACTGAACTTCACCTTTTCATGTTAAATGGTCTTCCAGACAGTGTCTTTGAACTGACAGAAATAGAAGTTCTAAGCCTGGAACTTATTCCTGAAGCCAAACTTCCTTCAGCTGTGACCCAGCTTGTCAATCTCAAAGAACTCAATGTTTATCATTCATCACTAACAATGGATTATCCAGCAGTCAACTTCTTAGAAGAAAATCTGAAAACCTTGCGTTTGAAGTCTAGTGAGATGGGAAGAATTCCATTTTGGGTCTTTCATCTAAAAAACCTACAAGAATTGTGTTTAACAGGATATTTCATGCTAGATCATCACAACTCCATATACAATGATGGCTTTCAGGGGCTAAAAAATCTGAGATCAATTCACTTAAAAAACAACCTTTCCCGTTTACCTCAAGTGATCACAGATCTTCTGCCTTCTTTACAACATTTGTCTATCAACAATGAGGGAAATAAACTGATAGTGCTAAATAACCTGAAGAAGCTGGTAAACCTGAGAACCTTGGAACTAATCTGCTGTGATTTAGAGCGCATTCCCCATTCCATTTTTACCCTAAACAATTTGCATGAAATTGACTTAAAAGAAAATAATCTCAGAACAGTGGAAGAAATAATTAGTTTCCAACATCTTAAAAATCTTTCTTGCTTAAAATTGTGGCACAACAGTATTTCGTATGTCCCAGTGCAGATTGGTGCTTTATCAAACCTGGAACAGCTGTATCTAAATTATAATAATATTAAGAATGTTCCATTGCAGCTATTTCTTTGCAGAAAGTTACACTATTTGGATCTTAGCTATAATAAGCTAACCTCCATCCCTGAAGAAATCGGTTATCTGACCAACCTGCAGTACTTGGCTTTGACAAAAAACCATGTAAGTAGAACTTTGAATTACTACTCAAAAACAAAAACAGACTTAAGCTGCTATTTCTTCTGGAACAACCTCTAGCTTTTGTGGTGTTCATGATTAAAGTAAATGCAGAAAAAAGGGGTGGTGCTTGTTTAATTACTAAAGCTTTGGTATCAGCAAAGCTCACATAATACTAAATAAGTACTGTCCTGGTTTGTAGCTGCTTAAGGGCTTTGACCCAGAGATGGTATAGGTTAGCATGGCTGCAGAAACAGATCTTCCCTTGCCCTGCAGTTGTCAATCCTATGTAGTATTTTAGTGGAAGTGAGCAGTGTTTAATGTTTGCCTTAAAACATCAAGCTGAAAGCTAAAGTGAATGAGCAGCTGGTTGATGAGCATCTCAGGTGTATGACTGGGAAGAGAGAAATAATTGTGGTTGGTAACCTCACAATCAGTGCTAAACTGCCTGGCTCGTTAGTGTGGAGCTCAGGCTTGTGAATGTTTCTGAGGTTTGTAATTGTTTGCATTGCTGAAGCTGGTTTTGGATGTTACGTGTCAGTAGAGTGGGTCAGGACAACTTCACTGCACAGATAACTGCTTGTACAGGTTTCACAACACAAGAGCTGCTAATACCTCTTCACAGTCTGTGCTTTTTCTTCATTAAGTGATTCTTTGGAATAGTAGGCTCTTCCTCTGCCCGGCCACCTGCACATGTCTGCGTGCAGTTCTGCGTGCATACATGGATGTGCTCCCCCTTGCAGGCTTGCTTGTGCCAGGAGCTAAGCAGCTTTGTAAGAAAACAGGGATAATAAAACCATTGTAGTGCTCTCAAGCACTTGATCACATAATGATAGAGGAATTACAGTCTTCCTTGTCCTTTCACAAACTAAGAGGGTATTTCACCCTAAAATAAAAAGGGGAAATGTCAAAACACACAGCTGCACATAGGCTAACACCTTCTAATGTATTTTATTTCTGTTCTTTTCTTTTTCTAGATTGAAATGCTGCCTGATGGATTATTTCAGTGCAAAAAGCTGCAGTTTCTTCTTCTGGGAAATAACAGTCTGATGAATTTGTCCCCTTTTGTGGGTCAGCTACTGAATCTTGTTCACTTAGAGCTCATTGGGAACTATCTTGAATCACTTCCTGCTGAACTGGAAGAATGTCAGCTCTTAAAGCGAAATAATCTAATTGTAGAAGAAAGGTTGTTAAAAACACTTCCACCTCGTGTCAGAGAGCGTTTGCAGGCATGCCCAGATAAGTCCTAAGTTTAAAATGAAACTCTGCATTGTTGTATTCTACAGGTCTTGCTTAATATCTCTCTAAAGGTCTGTATAGCTAGAGAGGAGTGAAGGAGAGAGAGCAATTTACAAATCAGTCTTAAACTTAAATGCATTGAACTAAGTTGATTGTATTGTTGATTGGAAAAGAAAAATTTATTCAGATTCAAACAAAAGATGCAGCCTTTTACAAGTAAACATGTTTGAATTTTGGAACGTGAGTTGTTGGTTAGGTTCTACTGATTGAAATAATTCAACTAAATGTTGATGGTAGTATTGAAAAAGAAGAGATGATTGCCTGGCTATAGTGAGAGTGTATATACTTTTTTCCTATAAGAATTTTTTCTGTTGATAGCGATGATTTAAAATAGTTTTATTCCTCCCATATGAGGTCTAAGAACTGTCTTGAATTAGTTTCTAAATATGAACTCTTCTCTAACTTAGGATGTATTAAATTAAGAGTTTAAACTATTTGAGCAGTTTATTGCATGGGGTATACGGAAAGTAATTTTTCAACATAACTTAATTTTTAAAAGCTTTTGACAAGTACTAAGCATTAATTCTATAATTGTGGAAGATGCCATTTGAATCTTGCTATTAAATACCTAGAACTGGTTTCAACATTTTGTCTTAAAAATAGTAAATACAAAATTAAATGTTGCCTAGAAATTGGGAGGAATCAGAAGAATCTGAAGTAACTGTTGTGCGCATGTCCTAGAGAACCAATCTTACATTACTGATCTGCAGAAACAATGATGGCAAACAGAATAGTTGCAAAGTTGTCTTCTGTATGTTGTGAGCATCCCAGGTGTTAGTGTAGTGTATGTTGCTGATTAATATTTTTATAACTTCTCATTACTAACTGCCTCAGTGCAGCTTCTCCACACCCAGTTATTGGGGAGAGGGTGAAAGAGGTTTGAGGTTTGTATTAGATAGGGACAGAAAGAGACAAATAAAACAAACTAAACAATCACACAACTTACAAGCATTTGGGAGGAAAAGACAAGAAGCATTATAAGCTTTGCCTCTTCTAGGGATGTAATAATTTCATAAATCAGAGTGGTGGGAAAAACTCTTATGCCATCCTTAATACTTGCAAAACTGGATGGAAATAAAATGTTTCCTGACTTCATTCTTCTGCTGTGCGCTGTTTTATTATATTTGAAGTCTTAATTCACATTATGTTTATCATGTTCACCAGAAACATAAGTTATGGCCCTGGGGAAAGAAGAGGTTAGCATTCTTTCCAAAAACACATTTTAAAAGTTTAACATAATACAGTTTTCAAAAACTAATCTCAATTATGGGTTAAGCAGATGAAGTAAACTGCCCGTAATGACTTTGTGTTCAAGAAGTGTGCTAACAAACTGCATTCCAATTTGTAATAACAAATCATCACAGATGAAACTAGTTTTAGTACTAGACTACTTTTAGTCATCTCTTGCTCCCATTCTACTGCCAGTTTTTTGGAGTGTAATGTTATCCTGAATGAAAATGCCCAAACAACTCTTATCAACATGAAAGTAGATGTCTTTGCAGGAGCAGTGCAAGAGGTGCATGTTTATCCACTGTGCTGATGGCATTCCAAAGACCTTTGTAGTTGGAGCACTTTTCTTCTCAGGGAACCAAAGTGTGGTAAAACAAATTGCTTTCTATGTAGTTCTAGAAATGTTTAGTTTAAACTAGTTAGTTGTGTTTATGTGCAGACCAGTGCTGCTTGAACAGTGTTTCATAATGTCCATATGTAACTCCTCCAAACTCTGTTAACTCATTTTGAGTTGTATAACAGTCCCATAGGAATTGACATGGTTCATCAACAGAGCTAGTTGTGGTACATGTGATTAAACCACAATGCATTGACTTACACCCCTGTGGCAAGACTTGTGTTAATAATTGCAATAGGCCTGTCTGGACTTCATAACTTAACATTAAAGAACACATTATGCCAAAATTTGACACTTAAGACTTGCAGTCTAATAATTTTTATCAGATTAAATGTGAATTTTCTTTAAAGCTTTTTTCTAAATTAGAAAGCTGTGTTGAAAAAGTTAAATCAGCAAGTAATTGACTTGCTAATAGCTTCAACTTTTTAGGAGTGCATCAGTCCTTTTCCATAATCAACCAAACTGATGAAGGTGAAAAATTATCTTAAATGTGCATTCTACACTAATTTTGTCAGGAGTGAATTAACAGAAATAACTTGGAGAAAGGTACTTAATTTCTAAAATGGTAGAGGATTTGAGAGCCACATGTATAATTAATAATAATATTGTTTTATAGGCTAAATGGGTTACATTTTTTGCAGACTTTAATTTGTTCACTCTGCACCCCTTCAGGAGGGTTGGATTATTTTAGCTGCATGTTTGGGTGTTTAAAAAACACTCAGACAAAAGCCAGAACATGTAAAGGCTATGATATCTAGCCTTGTTTTCAAACCACAGTGCCTTTACTATCCCTTTTGTACCATGAAACCTAATCCAAGTGCTTAGAATTGAGGATGGAAACAAATGTAACTCTGAATTCCTTGAATTCACTTCAGCCATTACCTTAATATTCACTATTTCTTCAAAACAACGGAATTTTCAGGGAATCAATTTATGAATCCACTGTCAAACTTTGTACAATAATATTGTTGGCACGTAGTCTTTGTATAAATAATCATTTCCAATCAAAAAAGGCTTTTCAACTTGTTTGTGTTATATTGTGTTTAAGAACTTTGTATTGTGACCTTCCGTATCATGAACATTTTCTTTAAAGATTAAATTTTTGTTTGCATTACAATTCTATGAACTGTTCTTTCTTTTTCATCAGAGATGTTGCATTTAATGCAAAGCTCAGAAGTTTGCTTCCAGCTGTTCTGTATCTATGTGGCAGCAGGCCTATCTTCTACATGATAATGTGAAGGTAGTGAACAGCAATGGGAAATTAAAACTGTGGTCCATGTCAAAACAGTTTTCATATTCTGGATTAGGAGAGAAGTTCTTATGTTGATTTAGAACAAAGCTTCCTTCTTCTTAATTGTTGCTACACAACCTTTTCCAAGTCTTCCACTTTAATTTTTGTGAGCTGGGTAAGTATGAAATGCAGACTGGAATTGTACTGGGAGAAGCAGGTGGCCAATGATTCTCTCCCCAGTTTGGCACATACAGATGTCATGTGGCTAAACTGTCAGAAATCATGCTGCTCATGGTAAATCATGAATGTATTTCAAGTATTGCATGTGATGTTAGCTCAAACATCTCATCTCCCTTGAAATGCAAGATGATACCTGATGGCTTTTTCTGCAGGCTTGGGTTTGATACCATGTTCTTAAAATATGGGAAAAAACTCAGACTTGCAAGTAGTGTTACATATTCAAGTAAAAGTAAAGTATTTTTATTCTTCAGAATGAGAACCCTCCTAATATATTTTATGGAACTGTGGCCCTTCTTTCTTGGGCATGAAATGAAATAACTAATAAAAAATGATGCAACTTACCTGTTTCAAGGAAGTGGTGTTAGTAAAATAAAGCAGATTGTGCTTTTAAAAACTGTTTTTTCATACTCCTGCAAATTTGTGTATTGTGGTCCTTTATGCTAACAGAATACAGCAATGTTTCAGGAATTCCTGTGTCTGAGGAAGCCTCCATCCTGGCATTACATGAAGTTTCTCCCAGTGCTCCATTGCTAGGACATGTAGGTGATGCAGGGGGCAGTAGCAACCCACTCTGGGGCTGGACTGGCATCTGAAGGGTTCAGGCATTATCTCAGTCCAGTGTGTTTATCAAAGGACCATTTAAAGGACCAAAGGACATCTTTGTCTTTTGCTTCTTTATGTTGCTCTATTTATGTGAATATCCATTCCCTCTTAGTTCAACTTCTAATAACCCATAATCTGTTGTTGTTATTTTGTACAAATGCGCACTCTGCTTCATAGGAGCCAGCTAAAAGACTTTCAAGTCGTATGGATGTGCAATTCATATGCATTTAACACTTGAAGAACACGTGGTGAAGAGAGGATGGAAATGAGTCCACCTTCAGAGAGAGGGGAGAGGAATAATTCCTGCAAGTAACAGGAGAGATTGGAGAGATGGTTATTACTGCTTAGCCCAGCAGGCTCTTGGGAAGTGTTTCCTGGAAGTAGAACTTGCTGGTAGGCAGTTATGGCAGCATGGTGCTTAACACAGGGAGGTATCAGTCTGTAGAGCTCATGGGCCTACTGTTAAACAGGTACATTTATTACTTGCTATTGCTTTCTTCTTCTTATAAAAATGCTATTTCTAATATTTACTGCTACTGTTGATAAGTGTTACTTAAAACACCCTGAATAAAAGTTCTTTCTTGTCTTTTCCCCTACCTCACACTTGCATATCTGTCTATTGCAGAACCAATACTCTTGTCAAAAGATGTTGTAAAGCAAGTATTTGAAAAGTGTGGAGGGGAAAAAAGCCAGTCGGTGCAATCTCCCTGGCAATGCAACCTGAAAACCTCTCAAGTCAGGCTTCAGGCTTCTAGCATATGGATGGCAAGGGGAAGAAGGAGTGTAGCTCATTATCTTCATTGCAAACATAGCTAATCTGCAAGTAAATAGTGAACTGATTGATCATTTGAAATTGGCCTTGCTCAGTAGCAAAAATGCATAAAATTGGGATGAGACAGTTGGGTGGGATTTTTTAGTGAAGCTGTTCATTATAGCTAAAGGTGTTCATCACTGACCTCTGTGCTTTGGCTCTCTGGTCTAGCCATTGTTTTTGCTTTTGCTGGACCTTATGCTGAGCTGATTCTATGCGAAAGCCTGGAAAAACACTTTAGCGTACTTGTTTTCTGCTGGTTTACTAAGCTAAATTAGTCTGGTACAGTCTGGCAAGTACCAAAAGCAGCAGAGCAGGACAAAGATCAGTACCTGCCCTTAAGATAACTGCTTAGGGTATAACTTTGTATTTGCTTGCAGAGTAATTATCCTTGGCTGCCTCTTTGGTTTTGTTTGAGTTTTTAAATTATAGTGCAATGGGTACTATATTTGAATGGGTATGACTTCTTCTCATGGATTATATTACATATATATAGCTACATATATCCACATACATAGATATTGAATGACAATTAAACAGGCCTAGGACACACAAATATACTAAATATGTTTATCTAAAGTAAAATATCAAGAAGAAGAAAGTATAAGGATAGATTTAAAAAAACTCTTCAAGAGTTTCTATATAGCATGTCTTGAACTGTTATCAGATAACAGATATGCTCAGTTGCTGTGGCTGCATTGGCTGCCTGAAAATTTAGGAACAGAAGGGAAAATAATCACACTTCCATGCTGTGCAACCCATGATTACTGCTGAATATGTGTGCTCATTAATCCCTAGCACTCTGTTTTCCTCAGGGTGCTTGTGTTTTATCTTGTTTAGTGCTCTATTATGGAGCAGTGATAGCAGTTTCTGTGCTCTGTAGAAAATTTTCTGCTACTTAGGGATGATTTTGGTTCTCCAGTAGCAGCAGCTGAATTGTTTTTCAGTGTGTGTTAAGGCAACCCAAAGTTGGCATTGCTTTTTATGAGGCGGACGAAGTGGCTGTGTCAAAGCAACAGAGTGTAGTATAATGGGGGTAGAAAACTGAAGAGGGCAGAAAAGCTAGAACAGGAGCTAGTCCAGCTGTTGTAGAGCAAGTCCTTTTCACTGCTGAATCTGGCTGATGAGAGCTACTGCTAGTTTTTCCTTCAAAGCAGTCTGCCTCATTAAACTGCTGAAGTAATTTGAGGGCTGTGCAGGGGATTGATTCTGTGAGGTGCTGAGTTTTTCAGTAACTGCTTAGTGAGTGTACTTGACTCCCACCCAAAGCTAGCAGAAGTTCAGACTATTCATACCATTCCAAATAACTCTTTCAAGTTATTCAACTCGCTCTTCAAGATGTCTTGGTAAAAGGATCTTGTAAAACAAAGATTTGTTTTCTTTCTGTTCTGTGGTTATAAATTATAACATATGCATGAAAAGGCAATAGGTTTTCTGGTATGAAATGAGCAACAATGTCCAAGGCAAGTACATATAAATCTTATTTGATTTTAATCTGGTTTTATGCCAAGTGGGTGTGGTTTTGCTGGCTTGAGAAATAAATCCACTAAACAGTCCGAACTGATAACATGTTGTTTCCTGCA